GAGGCCCACGGACCACAAAAAAAAAAAAAAAAAAAAAAAAGCTGAATAACAAGTGTGGGTGTTTTGTAGAAAGATGGAGTGGGCAATGGCAATGGAAGGGTACTTGGGGCTCAGGCCAGGGAGAGCTTTGAGCTCTGTGGAAGGGAGTTGGGACTCTCTGTAGGCAATTTGGGGGATGAGGATGGGCCATGACCAAAACTGGCTTTGGAGAGAGTTCCTGGTGGCATGATGGCAGGTGTGTTCCTTCCTGGTTATGTGAGCTTCCTCAAGTCACTACATCTCTAGAACTCACTGTCAATGACAGTAAAGTAGGGATAGTCCCATCCCACACGGACGGTTTAATGAACTGATGTTTGTGAAAATGCTTTACAAACTGAAGTTGTGCAAGTGTTTTGATTCCATTTCAGTGAACATTAATGGATCAATAAATGCCTTAAGCCAGCCCTGCACTTGGGCCCGGGGAGCTCACCCCCGGATTAAGTGGTGACTGAAAGGAAGAATAGGCCAGAGGCTTTTGCCAAATCCAACTAAAAGATGATGGGGCCTGAGGCTCAGCCTGGCTTGCTTTCTTCCTTTAGCTGCTGGTGACTCCCTGCTGCCTTTTCCTCACAAAGGCCCTTTACTTGCTAGTTGTCTTTTCTACAGACTTACATTTGGTTGGAATTTGCCAAGCAGCATTTTTTTTTTTTTTGCGGTACGTGGGCCTCACTGTTGCGGCCTCTCCCGTTGCGGGGGCACAGGCTCCTGACGCAAAGGCTCAGTGGCCATGGCTCACGGGCCCAGCCGCTCTGCGGCATGTGGGATCTTCCCGGACCGGGGCATGAACCCGTGTCCCCTGCATCGGCAGGCAGACTCTCAACCACTGCGCCACCAGGGAAGCCCTGCCAAGCAGCTTTTGTGAGCTGGCAAGGCTGTGGGCTTGCCTCCAGCTTCCTGCTTTTTAAGTGAGTGGCTTTCATGGCAGCCCCGGACACTAGAAGACACATGTTACTCTGGCACGGGCTGTGGGGCCCATCCACCACTTCCTGCCCACATTAGCAGCTGCTCTTTATCTGAGCAATGTGCTTCCCCTTGCCTTCCCCATCCCTGGAGAAAAAGATTGTCACACAAGCACATTTGGGACCTCCAGCTGCTTCCTCAGGTAGATGGTCTGAGTCCAGAGCCTGTGGGGTTTGGTTTCAAGTCCGCCCTGGAGAGTTGGTGCTGGGGCCCAGTTTGGGGTGACCCCTTGGGAGGGGGAGGCACCTCCACTTGACCCTGCAGTAGGGAGCACTTGTGAGCCTGCCCGTCTTAGATCCTTCACCCACTGGCATGTGAAGTATGGCGCTGAAGGTTAGAACCCCGGGACAGCCCTGCGCCCCTCCATTTGCCCTCCTCACTCCCCATTTGGCTGCAGCAGACATAAACTCGATGCCCACCTTGGTGTAGATGGAGTGGGCCAAGTGAAAGACGCACGCAGCCCATGTGGTCCCCCCCTCTGCCAGTCTCAGTTGATACAGCCATGGGTAAAGAAATGTTTCATTAACACTTCTTAGTACTCATTGGAGAAAGAATGGTGCAAGGGCACAGGAAAGGCCGTGTGAGGAGAGCTGGGGGTGACGAGGACTGTGGTGAACTGGATCTGGAACATCACATGACTCTGGACCTGCCATGTGGAAATGAGAAGCCAGGATTACCAAGCTTCGACTTTTGCAAGAGAACTTGGGCATCTAGACTTTAATGTAGCATCTCCAATTTAAAAACACTCGCAACCAATTCAAATTTCTAAAACAATACTGTGGCTTGCTGGTTTATACCTGTGCACCAAAAGAATGGTCTGCTTTCTTCCCCTACAGGCCCCTAAGGTTCGCCAAGACAGGCCCTGGCAGGAGGGAGGAGGGAGGAGCCGGTGAGAGCAAGCGGTTAGCCCTGACCTGGGCCCTGCGCTCTCCTGCAGCACAGCTCTGGCAGCTCTTCTCAGCTTGCCGTTTCCTCCGGTCAGTGGCTCTGCCTGACTTTCTTGCTCCCGGGGCGGGGGTGCCCCTCATCAGCCAATGCAGAGCAGGAAGGCACTCTCGTTCTCTCACCTCTCTGCTCACAGAGCCTGGGGTCAACGCTTTTGAGCCTTGGCAGCCAACGACAGGGTGGCAATGCCTTTCCAGGGTCTAGAATAAGCCCTTTCCACCCCACCCCAATGACATGCCCCAACTCCTGGAACCTGGAGTCCACACCTTGAGTCCAGAGACGCCCTCCGCCTGTTGTAATGATGATCCACATCCCGGCTCAGTGTGCTGGCCTTCAAAGTGGGGGGTGGGAGGGGTGCTGGAGGGGTCAGAGAATGAGGTAAAAACAGAAATGGATGCCCATAACTGTGTTTTATTAATCTCTGACCAGCAGAGTGGGCATAGTAAACAGCACTGGACCAATACTGTGCCATCTTGTCTGAGATGTTAAAAATTAGGATCACAATCTCACCCGCAACTGCAGGTTCACCTCTTCCTGAAATATCTCTCTTCTCCAACACTGGATGCCCACTGAGAGGTCAGAAGTTTGCAGCAAGAATTTCCTGCCAGCCTGTAGCTGCTGCCTCGGCCCCTCCCTCCCTCCCCCTGAAGCCCACACTGACCTGCAGACCCCACCTTGTGGACTCTCAACACTGCAAGCTGCCTGTCCAGGCCAACGCTGACCCAGAGCATCCTGCCCCTCAAGTGGGCGCAGGGGTGCTCAGTCCAGTGCAAGTATCCCAGTGCTCAGCCGCACCTTCGTTCTACACCGACAGGGGCCAACACCTCAACTTTTGGCTGCAATTCCCAGAGAGCTTGGGATCCTGCCTATCTCCGTGTAGAGTCACAGCCCATGACCCTTTTGCTCCCTCTCACGACATCACACTCATCCCTTCCTGGAAAACCATTTTAATTAGTTTACACAGGCGGCAAAGAGGGAGATACGGAAGCTGGGCCGGCTGGGCTGTCTTTAGAAACTGCCAGGTCTCCCTCTTGGCTCTGAGCAGAATTAGCAGCAATTCTAAGAAGCCCCAGGCCTGGCCTCCAACAGCAAAGCCAGAGGAAAGTCACCCCCAGAAAGCCGACAGGGGAGGTGGGAGGCTGTGAGTGCTCAGCGTCCTGCAGACGAGGGAGGTGGATGAGGGAAGTGTGGACTCACACGGGGCTCTCAGAGGCTCCATCCAGCAAGGCGTCCGGCCAGGGCTGTGTTCAAAGCTGGGTTAGGCAGAGATGGGAGCCACAGAGAGATGAGAGGTCTGGCTGGCAAGCCCCAGGGGAAGGGCAAAGGCACTGGGGCAGATACAGCCACGGACAATGGCCAGCTCAGGCAGGGCCTCTGCAATGCCCACAGCAAACAAGTCCATCCACACAGCTCAGGGGCCTTGGCCTCTTCAGGGCCCCTGTCTCAGCCAAGCGCAAAGGCATCTCCCAGGCCAGAAATCAGAGCCAAAGCACCAGCCCTGTCCCACAGCAGCTTGCAGATGTGGGGCTGGGTCAGCATGGGGACCAGGCCATCCTCAGCTCAGTGGCAGTTCTGACAGCTGGGGTGGCAAGGAGACCCATTCACCCGGCAGCGGCAGCCCCCGCTGGTGTCTCCCGGGCCCTAGAGGATGAGCGGGGAGAGGAGAAAAGGTCAGGACAGTGAAGACAGTGGGCCCCTCCCCCTCCGCCATGCACTCCATCTCACCCCCAAAGCACAGACTCCCACCCTGGGCCTTGGGTCGGGCACACCCCCCTGCTAAGATGACCCTCTCAGCCCCAGCCACCAGATGGAGGCAGCCGTTAAGGCCTTTCTGGGCTCCCGTAGCAGCCTCAATTCTGCGGTCTGGCTGCCCACCCCTAGACCTGGAGCCAGAGAGGACTTGATGGATTTTTACATATTCGGGGTGGGTCAGCACACTGGTGGCATGAGACTGTGCTCCTTCCGCCTCCACCTGTCTCACTGTCTGCCTGTACGGATAACACCGAGCCCCAATACCAGGAACGCTCCTCCCAACGACAGCCACCATGAGCCACCATGCGCGTGCTCACCATGTGACAGACGCACCGCACTAAGCACTGCTCTTGCATTTTTTCATTTGATTCTGACAATAAACCTGAGGCCCAGCTATCATCTCCACTTCACAGACGAAGAAACTGTGACTCAGAGAAGGGAGTAACAGCCTATCCAAATGGTCAATGTGTGCCAGAGCCAGGGACCCACCCCTCTACCTCTGACTCCCACCCGCACCCTTGGCCGCTGTCCTCTAGGGCAGGGCTGGGCAAACATTTCTGTAAAGGGCAAGACAGTTCCCTGAGTTTTTGCCGGCCAGTCTGTCTCTGCCTTTGTAGTGCAAAAGCAGCTACAGACAGTATGCAAACGAATGAGCGGGGCTCCCATAAAACTTTACTTATGGACACTAAAATTCGGCTTTCATATAATTTTTACATGTCATCAAATATTCTTCTTTTGATATGTTCAACCACTTTAAAAGATGTAAAAAACGTTCTTAGTTCACGAGCTACACAAATGCAGGCAGTGGGGTTAGAACTGGCCCATGGGCTGACCTGTCCAATCTCTACTCTCAGGCACTCTCCCACAGCACCCCTGAGCCCTCTGCTCCCTGGGGACTCACCCCGGGGCCCCAGCGAGGACCCTTGGTGACCCAGCAGATCTCGGTGTGGCAGACAGTGCAGCGGATCCAGTCACAGCCGTCCTTCTTCTGCACCACGATCCGGCACTGTGGGCAGTGCATGGCCTCGCCCTGCTGCAGCATGGTCTGCAGCAGAGCAGGTGCTGACCTTAGGCCCAGCCCCGCTCCCCGGCCCCGGCCCCACTGCAGAGAGAAACCGGCCAACCCGGAGTCGCAGAATCACTCTCCCATGCTGCTCCACCCAGGCCCAGCTGCATGCAGCCTCCTCTCCCATGCGTCTGCAGTCTCCTCTCTCCACCTGGACACTCCCCGCTGCGCGCCACTTCTCCTGAGTCCCATCTCTGGATGGGAGTGATGCCAACAGGAGCTCAAGCCTCCAGGGCTGGATGAACCACAGTCCTTTCAGAGAAGTCCCCATCCCTCCCCAAAACTCAAATCCCCGGCCCTCAGCCTTGACCCAGCCTCACCCTCAGCATCTCTGTCGTCTGCCGGGCAGCCACGTCGTTCTGAGCCCGCAGGGCCAGGTCGTCCTGGTACTCCTTGCAGTTCATCTGCTCGTGGATGGCCTGCAGCAGGATGAGGGGCTCGAGGGAGTTAGAGAGGTGAGGGCCAGAGCAGGCGTCCACATAAGCACTTAATGCTTCTACATGGTGTCAGTGACAGAGCCTTCCTTTGTAAACCACACACACCCTGAGGCCAGGGAGGTGATAATCATCATATATACCTATTTATTTTAAGTCCCAGGCAGGCACAGAAATCCCTAAACCGCAGCAGCCCCTCGTCGCAGGCTGTGTTCTGCCCTGGCTGTAGGCCTAATGCTCTGAGAGTGAGCTTGCAGGCTCAGCCCTGCCTACTCGCCCAAGACCAGTCTCTGTTGTGGTCACTTGTTCAGAGGATGAGGGCAGGGATGGCCTGAGGTGAGGGTCAGGCAGGGCTCAGTTCAGGACAGGAGTTGACACGGGTTGGTCTGTGACGGATCGGGGTTCATCAGAGGCCAGGATCGGGGCTCAGTCTGGGGCGAGGATTATCCAGAGGCTCAGTCCGGATTCAGGGCTCAGTCTAAGGCTTAGGCTCAGATCAGGGCCCAAGCCAAGCCTGGCCACTGATACACAGCTCTAAGTCATTGCAACCAGGTCAGTATCCCAGCTCCCTTCCTAGGAGAACAAACTCAGAATGGCATTGAGCTCCTGACAGGACCAGAGTGACTGGGCAGTGTGGGTCCCTGTCCCCACCTTGCAAAGCAGGCAGTTGATGTGGAAACACACAGGGCAGGTGAACTCGTTGACGTCATCCTCAAAGAAGCACCATCCTTTGCAGTCCGGGGTCTTGCAGTGGTAGCTGAAGGCACTGCGGTTTTCCGCAATGGAGATGCCCAGCTCCAGAAATCGCTGGTAATCCTCGGGGCTCAGGAGCTGCCAGCAGACCACAACCTTGGTGCTCTGGGTTCAGAACACCTGACAATGTGCCCTCCTGGCCACCAAATATCCCTCAGGAAGCCCCCAACCCATAAAGTCCAACACAGCAGTGTTAAAAACTCCATTCAAAAAGTGGGTCAAGGGAATTCCCTGGCAGTCCGGTGGTTAGGACTCTGTGCTTCCACTGCAGGGGGCATGGGTTTGATCCTGCAAGCCGAATGGCTCAGCAAAAAAAAAAAAAAAAAAAAAGGAAAAAAAAAGTAGGTTAAAAGTTCTGGGGATGGATGATTGCACAGCAATGTGGCTACACCTAATGCCACAGAACTGTATACTTAAAAAATGGTTAAATGGTAAATGTCATATATATTTTACCACAATCTTTTAAAAAGGGGGAAAAGTGGACAAAAACAATAACAAGCAATTCCAGGAAGATGTGGTTAAACCAGCCTCCTGGTACACAGCACTCTGAGAAAGCCGTGCGGCAATAAGGTTTCAACCGCCCCAAGCTTTCCTGACCCCCTGAGACTTATTCTACTTCTACAAGTGTATCCTAAGAAAATAATATGTAAGAAGGAAGAGACACCATAAGCAAAATGTTCCTTGAAGCATTCCTTACAAACTGGAAGGAATTATTAATAATAATTAATATCAAAAATTATTGATATTAATTATTAAGAGAGGAGAACTGAACAGGATGTATGCCACAGAGATTTATAATAATCTTTAGAAAGGTTTTGTAGCAAAATAGCAAAAGCTGTTGTCCCTACCCTGGTTACAATGAGGTAAAAATCACGCCTATGTTCTATATCTTGACTGAGTGGTAGTCTTAAGAGTTACATTTGTCAAAACTCATCTAACTGCATGCTTACAACGGACGAATTTTATTGTGTGCAAGGTATACCTCAATAGTTAATTTAAAAAGAAAAAAAAAAACATGTCTACCCAGAGACACCAAAGGAAACAGGAGAAAATGCAATCAGAGATTTTCTGGGATGGCAGAGTCGGTGGGTGATTTTTCTCTTTGATTTCTGTTCTAGTTCTTGTGGTTTAGGCATGTTTTTTGTAAAACAACCTCCACTGCATTACTCTGCTGATCCCTGCCCCTTCCTCTTTCTCTGCCACACTTGACTATTCTCTGAGGCTTCGGTCAACGTCCAGGGGCTCCAGGGAAGCATGAGCCCTGCAGCTCCTTGGCATGAACTCTGGCCCCATCACAATGCCCCTTGGAAGAGGTGGGTTTTATAGGGAAAGCCTCTGGGCAGCGACTGTGGGTGCCAGGATATATGGAATGATCTATGTCTTGGGGCCTCTCCAGGCAAGAGTAAGGAAGCCAGAGCTGCCCTTCTCAGGTGCCCCACAAACAACAGTTAAAAATGGGGCTTCTCTTAGTGTAAAGGCTGGGAGTTCCCAAAGGCCCACCCCTTCTGTCTGCCCTTTTTCCCCTGAGGCAGAACCCCTTAGGTGCCAGGAAATACTCGGTAAAGTTTAGGGGGTTCTGAGAAGCAGCATCGTAAGAAATAGGCAGAAGTGATGTAGAGAAACGGGGTCTTGTATATGCGGTGGTGGGGGTCTCTCATTTGGACCTCAGCCACCTTTGGCCCTGCCTCCATGCTGGCCTGGGAATTCCAAGATGCCCAATTCTGGGAAGGCCATTCCCCAGCAGTTTAAAAACCAATGATCAAGTCCAACAGTCCACTTTACAGATGGGTAAATGGAGACGCAAAGAAGGGAGAGCACTTGTTCAAGATGACCAGCAGTCAGGGGCATAACTCGATAATAATAACATTAATAATAATAGAAAACACACACATGCAGACACATACAGCCCTGTGAAAGGTTGCTGGAGGAGTGGCCCCTATTTGTTCATGTCTCCCCAACTCCACACCCTTGGGTGGTTCCCTCCCACACGAACTCTGGGCTTAAGCATGTGACCTGCTTTGGCCAAAGGGACAGGAGCAAGTGAGCAGCCTTGGAAAGCGCTCCTGCACTGGCTGCTCTTGGATCCTTGAGACACCAGCACATGAGCAGGCCCTGGCCAGCCTGGGATGGATGAGACCAAAGTGGAAAGAGGCCCTGTCATCCCAGCCATCACAGATAAGACCATCACACCAGTCCATGACAGTGGACCTGCCAGCTAAGCCCAGTTGAGCTCTGCCAGGCCCAACCTGGACCAGATGAATCATCCAGCTAAGCCCAACCCAAATTGCTAACTTGCAGATTCATAAGCTAAATAAATGGTGGTTGTTTTGAGTCTGGAGTAATCTGTTACACAGCAGAAGCAAACTGATACAAGGGCTAACTGATACCACGTATCAAGCACTACTCCAAATTCTTTACACGTCTTCCACTATAACCTTCACAACCCTTGAAATAGAAACTAAGTCTCTGACCCCAACCAAGAAGAGAAAACCGAAGCACAGAGAGGCTGCATATCTGACCTGAGGTCACCAGGCCATCTGGCCCCAGAATTCCCCCCTGCTAACTGCTCTGCTGTCTCTTCTTCATAAGGGTGTTTTCTTTACTAGGTATTTCCCCTAGTTCCTGTCCTGCCTACCCCTTGGGCTTCCAGCATCCCACACAGAAAAGGCTCTTGATAAATGACTGGTGCCTGAGACTGGGACTCTCAAACCAGTTCCCACCTGCCAGCTCAGGGCCCAGTTCCCTGGGACAGGGGGTGTGCCTCTTCCTCCCCCAGGCCTTACCGCCCGGATCTCCCTCTCCAGCAGCTTGCCCGAGCATGAATAGGTGTTGTCAATGAAGGGGCAGGCAACCTCGGCCTCCTGGCTGTTGCGGATGGTGCCCTGTAGACACTCCCTGGGAGAGGTATGAATAGGTGGGGAGGTTAGGGGTCATCTGAACCCCATCCCCCAGGACTCCAGCCCCCAGGACTCCAGCCCTCACATGGTGAGGCCTGACCCCAGGCGGGCTTCTCCTCAATACCTCCCTTCCGATCGCTCCCACCAACCCATCACTTCTGTCCCCCCACTGCCACCCTTATCACTCCGGCCCAGGTCCCATCACCTCACCTGCAGGACTGCAGGAGCCTCCTCACTGGGCTCCCTGGGTCTACCATGTCCCTCTCCCCACAGCCTCCCATCCCATCCCACCCAGAGCAAACCTGAGAGCCCCAGTGACTCACCCTCCCTAATACCTCTCTGTCCCCATCCCCTAACCCCCTCCATCCCTCTGCTCCAGCTACACTGACCCCTTGCTGCCACAGGCAGGCCAGGCACATACCCCCTTTGGACCCCCTGGTCTGCTCAAGTGCAGCTTCCCTAGGGGCTTCCCAGACCTCTCATAGGGCAGGGCCTCTGTTACTTTTATCATAATCCACTGGTACTTAGCATTTGGCACAATTTACAATTATATCAGTGATTATTTGATTAACATCGGCCTGCCCACAGGAATGTAAGCTTCAGGAGGCTGAAAATGAGCTTTTTTGTTCACTCCTGGATCCCCAGGCCTAGCCCAGTCCCTGGCACCCAGGGCAGCTCATCAAATGTGTGCTGTGAAGGACACGTTCTCCACAGCCCAGGGCCAGGTGTGGAGCCTCAGAGGGCAGACTGTCCACCAGCGAGGGTCAGGGCCGGGTTGGCACGGGCTGCCAGGCCAGAACCCAGGCCTTACATGGGCCTGGCGGTTGTGTGGAAGGTCGCATGCTCTGGCGACAGAATGCCTGAGCTGTGTGGCCTCGAGCAAGTTGCTGGCCTCTCTGTACCTCACATTCCTTCTCTGCAAAAAGGGGAGAGAGTGCCTACCTCGCAGGTTTCTGTGGGCGTCCAGAGATGTAAGAGCACTGCGCCCCACCCCCTTTCAGCCATGGGTACTGCGCAGCCGTGAGGAACTACATCGCTGGGGGTGGGGTCAGGGCCGCACCTGCAGAAGGTGTGCAGACACTCACGCAGCACCACGGCCTCGCCGGGCGCCAGCACCGAGTAGCACACGGGACACTCGGTAGGCTCGGTGTTCAGCACCAGGCTCCGCTGATCCAGTTGCACGTGCTGTAGGTAGTTCCCCTCCTGCTGCTGCTGCTTCCGCTGGGCACACGGGGGGGTGGGGCCGCGGGGCGTGTCAGGGTCTCAGGGGCGGGCCAGGAGGGCGCAGGACCAGGTGATGGGTGAAACCTGGCGGGGCGGGGAGGGTGGGGGTGCGGAGCAGAATCCTGCGGTGGGGGTGGGACTAGGCGCAGGCGATGCTGGGAAGGGAGGGGCCGGGAGCGGGGCGGGGCGGGAGGCGGGGAAACA